TAATAGCGAATAAAAAAATGTGACAAATTTTACATTACCATAACCTTTAAATACAAAAAATATATATCTTACTAATGTATTATAGGGTTTTGAAGCAAATATGGCTTTGTACTTACTGTCGCAACTACTACAATCTAATAATTTAAAGAGAAACAAATTTAATAAGATACAATAATCTAGAAAAAGACATGACATTTCTACTCACAGCCTAAAATGTTTATATATGTGTACGTTAGTAACCCGTTGTCGAAAGCTATCTACTTAAAAAAATAGTTTGTACTCACTATCTAATGAATTAATAAAATATATGGAGAATGAAGATTAGCATATATCAAAACTAATTATCGTGAACAGTAAAATGTGTGCGAAATCTCACACTCACTCACTAATGATTTGTAAAAGTACATTAGTGGATTGACGCGTTATGGAATATCAACTTTAAGAAATATTGAACTTCATTTATACTCACTAACTAAAAATTAAAAACTCAAATCTTAATAATAAATACTTATTAGAGATGCGTAACCATATAAAATTTAATATGTTTACCATCTAACAGTTTAATAAAGAATTTTATTAAGAAGTTACAATAGTCAAAAACTAGGGAAACGAATTAGCAAAAATAAATACAATGATTTCATACCGACTAATTTAATAAATATTTGCATTAATACGTAATAATATATTATTATAAAAGTAATTGAATTTAAATATCTACCACCTAATAATGAAAAAGTGTCATTATATTAAATTATTGTACGTATTATGTAAAAATATATTTTACTTATACTTACATACTAATAGAATATTAATAAACAATAAATTGCGTTATTAAGTAATCATGGCAAATCGATTGAAAAGAAATTGAAGAAAATATACTTACTGGCTAATACAGGCAACAAATAAAAAAGTAAACCGTTAATAATAGTGAATATTGTTAAAAACTGCAAACATTATACAGTACTTACAAACTATTAATTTAGTAAAATAAAGAATAATATCAATAAAAACAGTAAGTATATAAATAAAAGCTAAGAATTAATAAATTAGTAGGAGCGGTAAAAAAATAAATCACATACCACCTAATAAGTAAAAGAAATTATACTGTATCAGAAACTTCGTAGTCATATATAATAAGAACATTTTGTACTTACATTCTGTTTTAAAATTCACATTAAATATAATTGTAACTTAAATTGTCAAATTCTCACGAATGATTTAAAACTTACGGGCTGGCAGTTTAATTAAGAAGAAAAAAAAAACATGAAAATACGATAAATTATTAAAAACAAGATAAAAAAAAATTACTTACCGCCTAATAATTTTTTTTTATTATGAGTCATTGACTTATTGACTTATTGTTAATCAGAAATACTACTCACAAACTTATGATTATGTAAAAAAATTTTTTCACATTAGCAATCAATAATGGCTGAGTGTAACTAACGTTATACTCACAGGCTGGAAATTTTAATATCGCAGAATGATTAATAAAGATATTATGAGAGATGAATTTTAATCGAATATACATAAAATTTATATACAGTATTTACGTGCTACAAATTAAAAAAAAAAAAATTAGTAATTAATCGAATTTAATCGAGGAAACTATTAACAAATTCATACTCACAAGCTAATAATTTAGAATATTATTATTAGAAAAATAAACATTATAAATTTACCAAAAATAAACGTAGCATTACACATACCGCCTATCAATTAAATAAAAGTATGTACTGTACGTATATGAACAAGGAACCAATAAATTATTGTAAAAAATAAATCTTATACTAACTGCCTAATAATTTAATAGGATAGAAACTTAGTAATTTAAATTGATTAAATATGGATATAATAAAATTTTTACATACAGACTAGCAATTCAATATAGTATGCAAAAGGTCAATAAATTACTGAAGCAATGAATTATTATCAAATAGAACACAAACATACGTTCTAATAATTAATATTGTATATGTTAACCTTAGATCATATAAATAAGTAAAGTATTCAAAAGGAACAGATCATATACTCACGGCCTAAAAATAAAATAAGTTTAAATCAGTGAAAAAACTAAAAGAATAAATAACATTAATTTTATATGCTTACTTTCTAATAGTCAAAGAAAATATAGATACGTATACTTTAGGAAAGTATGAAAAAAATTGAATAAAATAAGTGCCTCTTATTCACCAACTAATAAGTAAATTAATTAATTAATGGTTATAGATGGTTTTAGAGGAAATTACGATGAAATTATACTCACTAGACGTCGCTAAGGATTGCAAGTGAGAGAAAGCAAGGACAATTCGTTGTATTAAATAAAGACAAAACTTCAAATATGAAATCGGTTTCAAAAGAACATACCACCTAATATTAATAAAAGTTATGCGATTACTAGAAATGATTCAATGATATTACTGTACGTACGAATGTCATAAAACTTACGAGCACTTATGGTCATAATAGAAATAATAATGACGAAAATAAGCTTAGGATGAAGTTTTAGCAACATTGCGAAAATTTGAAAACATGAAAACCGGAGAAACACAGTATTTATATATTTCAATTATTTTTGTGGATGTAATTTTATCTCATGTTATGTAGAAAATCAGATCCTGATCGTTTCGTGACTGCATTCACATATTAAGATTGTGGCAGTGAGACAACAATATAAATAACTTTATTTAAAAACGGTATGTACAGTCAGACCTCGATATAATCACCAGCTTGGGAAACAAGAATCTGGTGATTATAAAAGTTGTGACTATATAAAAGCAAAGTTTGTACGTTTTATAATAACTCGAGTTAAAAAATAACGATAATGGGATTATATGGTGCAGGACATCTAAAGACATCAAAGGTGCCGATAAGCTTGTCAACGAAGTGACAAAACAATCATTATTGCGAGATCAGGCTTTATTGCTGATCACATATAGATCAGTCGGGATGTTGGCATAAAGACATTATTTATCTTGTTAAATACAAGTTTGTGGAATTATGATTGTCTTAAATGTATTCCTTAAAATGTCAACAATAAACTAGTTGTGATCGATAGTATGTTGCAATTAGTAGTCAAGGAGTATGGTTATACATGTGAATATCAAGCGGAAGGGTAGGAGTGCTTAATTGGGCTAAGGGCATTTAAGAACTGTACACCAGGTAGACGTTTGTCGCTATCGCCTTGGTAAAAGGCTGGCTCTATCGGACCACCCTACCCACCCGTTGCTATGTGGCTCAACGGCTTGGAATAGCGCAATGGCCACTGAAAAGCCTAGGATATCGATAGTTGGATAGGTTGGCTCCGAGACTGCAAGAGCAGTACAAGGACCAGATCCAAAAGAAGCGTACAATAATTCAAAAACGATTCTTGCTAATCACTATTTAACTGTGAAGTTCCTTATTCTCGTAAAAATTGACCTAGTTGTTGCGATAAATAGAATTTTAGTTATGCCGTGAGGCAAAAGTGATAGATGTAATTATGAACGGTTGACTGAGCATTTTAATGGATAGCTCCGGCTTGGTTAGCTTAATTTTGTTAGTTGATGTGCCTAGAAGCATATATAAAATAAAACCTAAAGCTTTGCAAAAAACCACAATTTCTTATTGATATTGTCACGGGCAAAGAAGGATTGTCAAATTGGCGCAGTAATCCCGTGACTAAACCGGATATAATATTGGAATTCTGGATCAACAATTATATGAGGCTTACCTGCCAAAGAATAGAAAAGATAACCTACGTGAAATCCGAAGAAGAATCCTAAAAAGAAGAAACTAAGAAGATCTGGAAAATAGGCTAAAGAAAGAATTCGTTGGGAGAAAATTATTATTATAATTATAATAATCCCCTTGATGTATAATAGCTTCGCCCTGATTCTTTCATGATGTATTATATAAATCTTCCCTAAGCCCCTTGAGTTCATTAGGATAAAATAATCTATAAAAGAGTTGGGAATTCGCGTTAGTAAAAGGATATCCTTCGGGATTCCAACAATTCATTCATAATACCTTTAATAACTTACCCTAATAATTCCTTTTAATAAATCAAATTATTGTCAAATCACCAACGTCACGCCTCTGGCGAGTTGCCTTATTACCTAAATTATATCTTTTTGTATATAAATTAATAAAACCCTACGATTCACCCCGTAACAATATTATTTATCAAAATGGCTCTAATACATCTTATAACTCCAATCGTTTCGGACGAGAGTCGAAAGGTTAAATTGTCTCCGACAATAGCTTAGGACCTATTCCTATATGTATTTTCATCGTTATAGCAATAAAGTCTCCAATCGAGTAGTAATAAAATGAAGATGATTGGTTAAATTTTTATAATTAAAATTTTTTTATAATAGTGCTTAAATTTTTAAAACTATAATATTTTTAAAGCTTAATAACTGTTACTGTATAACAGACTTTTTTTAAAAAAAACTCTTTATTTCTATATTCTTTTAAGTTCTAAGGAATATTATTATAGAAAGTTTTTTAAAAAAATTATTTTTTAAACTTTTATTACATGAAATTATTTTTTGATGCGATTAGGTGTCCTGCACCATATAAAAGCTGTGATTATATCAAGAGAGTAACTATAACGAGGTCTGACTGTATAACTAACGCTAGGTAAAAAAAAAAAAAAAAATTCAAAAATTTCAACTCGAAAATCTATCGTTATGTAGGACAACTTTCTCGTGATTGGTTGATCATATGAAATTTAATAACCCTTTATGATTGGTCATATTTGCTAGCATGAAGTTGCTCGTCATAGAACCAAGTTGACTTTATAATAGTTAAAAATGGGAAAAGTCCGTTTCAAACGGACTTTACTCCAGAATTCGAGTTTTAATTTAGACTAAATTTAATAGCCGGCATAAAACTCTCTCGTCATATGCAGAGATGTGCCATTTATATAATACCCAAATTTTCTCGCGTATAGAACATAGAGTTGTTTGAGTAATTTGGTCATTATTAATGGCCTCTGTCTTTCAATTTTCTTTTGGGATCTAAAGCCGACTTAAAAAAACTAAGCTAACTCAAAAAAAGACTGGCCTTTTTTCATATTCATAATATTGTAATGATAGTAAATCTTGAATATTTTGACAAAAAATAAAATAAATCATATTACTCGAATTTTATTAACAGTTAACCTATTTTAATTTTTAGACAAAAGTGTTTAAAATTATACGAAGTATATAATCATTTATTTTTATGTAAATTTGCTAACCCCCCTAGCATGACCACCAAAATCAGTTACGTAATCGCAGTTTAAAATCTGAGATCTTGTAATCCGGCACATTT